TTTATTTATTGGTGATTCCACATTCTCATACATAAATCATTTATTGTAACCAACAACATGCATTTCAAAGGAGACTACTTAATGTAGAATAAAAACAGCAAATGTGTTGGCCTACAGGAATAAATACTCAAGGCACCATTTCTAACTCTACTGGCAAAATTGTGTGGTATAGTGGGTATTTCTTTGGACCTTCTGCATAAGTGTGGTTCTGCAGAACTGTCTCCTGTGGAAGCACATACACAGTACACGTGCATGGCCTGCCCTTCTCACCAAATGTCATGGTGTGCTACCTAGTGACTAACAGTCAAGTCCAGTGAATAAAATGGCTGAGTTGTGTTCATTTTGCTAAAGAGAATGTATCACTTATAAGGGAAGACGTTTCCCTTCCTTCCTTTGATTAAAACATGAAAAACACAGAATAAGCTATCTTGAATTAATATAAGGAAAGTGTCTGAAAATGTACAAAATTCATGCAGAATGGTTGAAAGAGAAACAGACTGGGGAAAAAAGTTGAAAATGAAATGTGTTTTAAAACTGTACAATTATGAAGAGGCTACAAATGAGGATTTCATGATGCTGTGTAGTTAAGACCATGAGACATCTTCAGCCTGTTTACCAACAACATTTCCTAAAGAATAAGAACAGAGCAATTGGTTGGTGTTTTAGTTATCACAAACACTGAACAATACTCTGACTTGTATGCAAACTTCAAAAGCATGCCCTGCTCTCCAGGTCCAGCAGCTCTGGGACCTAACGCATGGCCACTGATGTGCTTGCCTTGATTGCCCTCTGCTTCATCACCAAATGACACTATGGCTCAGATCTACCACAAACCACAAAGTGCAACCTGAAGGCTGGAGGAAAAGTATACCTTCCCATTTACCAATTAACTCATTTTGTTAGAAACAGAATGATGTAGGTAAATTTCATAAGGATTGATGTCTATATTGGCAAAACTGATGTAAATGTATTTATAGAGAACTGCAATGTACTATGGAAGCCATGTGTTTTTTAAATCCAAAGTTTAGCTAAGAGTTACTCTGCTAAACACATGCATCATTAAAATCTGTACAAGAAGGTCCAAACAGTTCTACTGAATGGTTCACAGAGTCTGCATTGCACAGCCTTCACTGGCCTGAAAAGGCAGAGGAAAGGACTGAGACCTTGACAGATTATGTATAACTCATTGTATCTCCTGTAGGTAATCTAAACGGTGATCGTCATTTATAAGGTGACAGATGGTAGGAAGTGACAAGATGAATTCCCTTTGTGCTACAGCTCCACTCAAGGGAAGTTTCTTTTGTTTGGTTGTATTTATTTATTTATTTATTTATTTATTTATTTATTTATTTATTTATTGTTTTGTTATTCTCTTCCTAAAAATGGACTCCCTGGCACTTTGGAGAAAGAAGGGTATCAGCTGACCTTTGACCTTGTCCTACATTAACAACCAAAAGAACCAGCATTACTGACTGGCATGTTTGAACTGCCAGGCTTTAGCACTCCAAGGTATTTGATAACTGTTACTTCACTATTCTCTTTCTATGAGATGCTTTGAGGAGTGTGCTGTGGTGACATTGTGTTCCCCAAAATATTGTGCACCCTAATAAACTTATCTGGGATCAGAGATAGAATAGCCACTAGATACAAAGGCTAGAAAATGGTGGCACTCACACCTTTAATCCTAGCACTCCAGAGGTAGAAATCCCTCTGGATTTCTGTGAGTTCAAGGCCACATTGGAAACAGCCAGGCATGGTGACACATGCCTCTAATCCCAGAAAGCGAGCCTTTAATCCCAGGGAGTGGTGGTAGAAAGCAGAAAGGTATATAAGGCCTGAGGACCAGAAACTAGAAGCATTTGGCTGGTTAAGCTTTCAGGCTTCTAGCAGCACAGTTCAGCTGAGAATCATTCGGATGTGAGGACACAGAGGCTTCCAGTCTGAGGAAACAAGACCAGCTGAGAAGTTGGCCTGGTGAGGTTAGCTGTGGCTTGTTCTGTCTCTCTGACCATCCAGCATTTCACCCCAATAACTGGACCCGGGTTTGATTTTATTAATAAGACTCTCTAAGATTCCTGCTACAGTGTGCTGTGATAAAAATAGAATAGATCGTCACATTGTCCTATTAGGTGTTTCTTGGGTATTCAGTTCACACACTTTGATACGAAGGGAGTATGTGTTTGCAGGATAAAGTTCTGTTTTTCTAATGAGTTACAGATAGCAACAAGAATAATTTGAAATACATATCTTCCTGTGGATTTACTTCTAATGAAAACATGCCCCTCAAGTTGGCCCCATCTGCTGGTCCCCAAGGCTGCTGGTATCAGTTTATGAGCAAATCAATATCAGAGGCTGGAGAAGTCACAGAACCCTGAGAACAATACTCAACATTTTAATGAAGATGCAATTTCCTGTAACTAAATAATAAATCATCCCCAAAACTTGTATAATCTAAAAGTTCAATAACTGGAGAATTCCTATAGTTATAAAATTAATATTAAAAAGTAAAGCAGATAAAATGTGCTTCAAGTGACAAAAAATGGTTTTGAAAATTGGTTAATATCGATGAGAAGTTTTGAGAGTCAAGAGTTCTGTAAAATATTATGAAGCTCAGGACATGTCATAAAATGGATGGGGTAAAGCAAGGACCACACCAACCTCAGCACAGTAGGCATTCTCCCCACAAGCCTGGAGCTCTACACTGTCAGAGTCTCCTGGAAGCTGAACATAATCCCCACACTTTAATCGACCATACCACTTATTAAATTGCTCATTAAGAAAGGAATTGCCAAGATATATCACCAGAATGTGAGTGACGATCAGATCCTTCAGGCTGAAAATGGTGCTGCTTGCCACACGTTAGCCATTTGTTACTTCAAATAGAAACGTTTTAGTTGCCGTAATTTGAGATTGTATCTAATGTTGCTCAAACTTCTAAAAGAAACCAACATCACAAGTAAAGGGTGGAGATTAATTTCCATCTGCTCCATGATAAAATGCCCATCACCTTTGTCAAAAATAAAAAGTTATTCTACTATGGTGTGATATCAGATTCACAAGAATAATATATTATTAAAACATGTTATTAACATGTATTAGAATTTATCTGTGAAATTGGCCTCAAGAGAATTTAAAAAGCTACAAATCACAGTCCAACTCACATTGTTAAATGCAAAACGTCACCCGTTAAGAGGAAATAGGTGCAGTTCTTTCCCACCTTCGACATGCATGGATTATACTGGCTCTGTGCAATCTGTACTCATAAGCAAACTACCACCCAGTGGAGAGAGTGAAGATCTTTCAGGAAGACTGGAGAAGCAAACCAAGTGGGGGTGACAGTGTAGGTGGGTCTACGGGAAGTGGAGAAAGAAGACCGGCAGTGAGCCCTGTTTAGCGCTTAGCACTACTGGTCATCAATTTATATCCAATGGGAAAGGAAATCTTTCCCAGGCACACTTGGCAGTGTGGCTTATGGGGAAAACCAGGCTAGGGTATCCTTTCATAGCATTCAGGCTGCTGTCAAGATTAGTGAAAATAAGGGGAAGAGAAGAGGTGTAGCACTGAAGACAGAGGAGGGAAGTGGGGGCAGGGGTGCACGTGTGTGGTGAGTGTGGAGTGTGCACCTTTTAAATACCAAGGGAGAATCTGAACGTGAAGTGGTCCTTACAGGATGCAATTGCCAGTGTGTGAGAGGATGGGAGAGCTGAGAGGGAGTGTGCTCATAACATCGAGATTTATGAGGGTTTGGAAATGGTACTGGAACACGCATGTGGGTGTGACAGAAAAGTGCATGGGAGATGAGGCTCTATATGAGAGTCTGGGAGGGGAGATATAGGGCTGTGATGAGGACCCGAAACTGGGAGAGAGGGAAAGCTGGAGAAAGGGGTGAATCAGAAATGACAGTGGTAGAACTGAGAAGACTGTGAAACAGTACAAACAAAACAGAATAGAACAGGGAGGAACAGGAGAGTGAAGTCAATGAGGGGTGAGTAGAGGGGGATGGAGACATGGGAAAGGGAGAAACAAGGAAAGAAAACCGCTAAAAGAAAAAAAAAAGAGCGGAACTGGGAATATTTGGATCTTACTGTTCAAGCGAGAGGGAAAATAAATGGAGCTCGGAGCCAGCAGTTGGGAAAAGTCGCTTACGGAGTGAAGCAGAAACAAACCCTGTAAACTTGTCAGACTCCTGGAGTATCGCTGGCAGCAGAGCAGAGACCCATCTCCAAAGTGGCACCTGCCCCTCCTTCAAGCCCCACACTCCTCACCGGGACTGCCCAGAAAGTGTTTCCCTTCCTCCCCAGTCCAGCCAGCCCCCTGCCCCGGGGTCGGAGGAACCCGGGAAGGGTCATTCGTGGGTAGCCAGAGGTGTGGTGTTTTGCTAGTGTGCAACAGCAGGATTCACGCCGGGTGTAAAGCAAGGCGGAGAAGGCAAGGGGACAGAAAGATAGACTGAGGCAAGTGTGGAGAGGGCGCGCGGTCCCTACCTGAGCACCGCCGTATCACCTTTCCTCACCAGCATGTTGTCCACGGCCGCCCAGGGGAAGTCCACGCTCTGCCCAGCCGGGAGGCAAGAGCACAGGCTCAGAAGCACCGCCGCCAGCCACTGGTTCGAGCAACAAGCGCCCTGCGCCAGGAGCACCATGTCCGTGCCTGCCAGGCTGCTCGCTCTCCGGCAGCGTCGGCTCCCACCCCCTGCTGCTGGCGAGGCTGCCCGGTAACCAGGCGGCGCGCCACACGAGATTTTTTTTCCTCTTTTCCTTTTTCTGAGTGGGTGGGTGGGTTTCTTCTCTTTCTCGCCCCCTCCCTAGTTGTCGGGCGTAGTTTCCCTCTTTCCCCGGCCTCGCCTCCTTTCTGCTCGTTTGCAGCTCGCCTTCCCTCCCTCCCCTCCCGCCCCCTGGCACCGCGCTCCACCTCCTCCGGGGCGCCTAGCCGCGTCCGGAGCGTGGCTAATCCCCGGCGGCCGCACACTGTCCTGCGAGGCTGCGAGCAGAGCGCGGGAGGCGGCGCAGGCAGCGCGGGGCGCAGCAGCGGCCGGCGGCCCCCGGGCTCGCGCGCGTTGCCAAGCGGCCGTTTCCGTAGCAACCCCGCCCGGGGATGGAGGACCAGGCAGGGAGGGGGGCCGAGAAGCGAAAGAGATAGATCAAAAAGAGGGAAAGAGAGGGACAGGGAAGCTAGGGGCGACGGGGGTTACGCCGAGGTCTGGTCCGGCTTCGCAGCACGAGCAAGAGAGCTGTGCGGGCTGCTGGGCTGGGAAGTCAGGGCTTGGGGGCCCGGCCTGCCCTTCGGTGCGTTTAGCTCCCGGGGCCTCCCAGGGCCCCCGACTTTAAAGTGCTCAAGTTGGGGTCGGCGCCATCATGACGCCCGAGACTGTGAGTGAGTTGGCTTTTTTTGTTGTTGTATGTGTGTGTGTGTGTGTTTAATCCTGACTAGCTAGCTAGTTCTCTCTCTCTCTCTCTCTCTCTCTCTCTCTCTCTCTCTCTCTCTCTCTCTCTCTCTCTCTCTCTCTCTCTCTCTCTCTTTTTCTTCCTCTTCTCTCCTCTCGTCTTTCTCTGTGCGTCTCTCTCTTTTCCTACCTCTTGTTATTTGTCTTTAGGGAGTATGTCTTTTTACCCTCTTTTGGAGGTGGGCAGGGACAGTGGCGGCGCTGCGGCTTTGCAGGGACAGTAGAGTGATACCGGCCTTACTGCTGAGAGCTAGCGCGTCTGTGGGTCCGCCAGTGCGGACTGGAGGACGCCTGCCCTTCTCTGTGCGTCTTGATACTAACTTGTGCGTGAGTGTGTGTGCGCGAGTGAGAGGGAGATGGAGTGTGCAGGGCGCGTGCAGGGCCGGGGCGCGCGCAGCACGCAGGCGCACTGGGAGGGATGGGCGGGCCTTGCTGGGATGCAGAGTTGGAGAAGGCTGCAATCAAGTGTTTTAATTGTGTGGAGCTAGGCGGTCCTGTTATGTAAGAGGCAGTTTAACCCATTTGAGCCTATTGGGTGGAAGGCTCGCACATTCGGGTGAAGCCAAGACATTCCTCGGCTTTAAGGAGTCCCAGTTGTATTTTTAAAACAACCTCCCAGCTGGGGTGGACTCGCATTCTTTGAGCAGCAACCTCAGCTCCCCAAGCAGCATCCTGCTAGCCGACGCCCAGGTCAGGGCAAAGCAGGGTCCGTGGCATGGAGTCACCCCACAGTCTGCTCGTTTTATTTATTTTTAATTTTCTTCCCTTTTGGCACTCATTTTCAGCCTTCTAGATCTCTTCCGGGCGATTTGCAAATCAATGAGAGAATCTTTGAGTCCAGGGCAGCGGCTCCAGTCTCCGTGAGGAGTTTAGGAGCAAAAATGAAAGTGGGGGGAATGGGTAGTTGGAAATAACTGACTCGCCCCACCTGGCTTCCCCCACCCTCCGCCTGTAGCGGTATTTTAAAAAAAAAAAGAAAAGAAACAAGAAAAAACACGTTCGTCTTTCACTGATGCTCATTTGAACTCCTTTTTCTGAAAGCCAGCAGGGCCCCGCGGCAGAGCGCACTGAAGCAATGATCTCTGCAGGGGTCACCATCCGGCTTCCTCCCAGAGCTGAGCTCTTGACGATGCAGGCAGGGAGTCATAGTTGTCGGTGGTACCCAGGGCGGCTTTTTAATTTTTATTTTTATTTATCACGATGTCTAAGGATAGATGGGGTAGGGCTAGCAATTTCCACCGCCCGAGACCACCCAGACTGAATTATCCCGGAGCCTCTAAGCAACATCACCTCCCTGCAGAAGATTCCCTGCGAGGCTCAGCAATTAACCACGGGGTTTGCAGCAGGAACTACTGAGGTGATTAGTATTCAGGCTTAATTCTCAGAACCCGCTCGGGAATTGAAAGTGCGGTAGTATTCAGCCGCATTTCGAAACATCAATAAAATGTTAGTCATTTGCGGATGAATGAAAACATTTTTCTTTACCGTCTGCTGTGCTAGGGAAATAATTGTAGAATGGCAGCCTCCCGCTAATACTGATGCCAGAAACCTAGAGAACGCTCTCTTCTCGTGGACTTCATTTAACATTCTTGGCGGTGCACTCAGGATAAAGCCTAAAATTATCGAGGACAAACGAGGTATTAGAAGACCTGACTTCCCACTACGCGGCCCGTTAGGTCCATGCGGTATTATTTCGCTATCGATAAACTAGACGCCAATGAAAAGAGGCAGAAGGATCAGCTTCTGGCGTTGAGCCAAAGTTTACGGATACTATATGCAAGGGTGAGAGAGCCAGCGCCTTCGAGTACAAGCCACTGAAAGGCATCCTTTCCTAACTGCTTTCCCCAGAGACTGACATCCTCAGTGCGCGCGGGGAGGGTGGGGGTGGGGATTTCTGTGGCCAAGGACTTGGCTCTGCAGCAATTTTAATATGTACAACAACCCTGCAGGCTTGTAAACCGAAACTGGAGCCGCTTCTATTTAAAGGCAAGGAGTTTCTTTTCTGTGTTTCTGGTTTCTGTCTCGGCTTCTATTCGATGATCAGAAAACAATTAACTCTTACAGAACCTACCCAAATAAAAGCAGAAAGGAGCCAGGCGGTGGTGGCGCACGCCTTTAATCCCAGCACTCGGGAGGCAGAGCCAGGCGGATCTCTGTGAGTTCGAGGCCAGCCTGGACTACCAAGTGAGTTCCAGGAAAGGCGCAAAGCTACACAGAGAAACCCTGTCTCGAAAAACAAAAACAAAAACAAAAACAAAAACAAAAACAAAAAAAAAAAAACCAGAAAGGATAGATGCGCGGATATTAGAGTTATTTATAGGTCTGTCACAATTAAGGAGCGCAAGAATGCACCTAGGTAGCTGCTCTTGCCCCGCGCATTTCTGCTAAATATCATCTTGTAATGGCCGGCTTTCCCCTGGACCCTTCTGAGGGTTCATATCTGAGAGGATTTTACTAGTTTTCCATCATTTGCTTCTGAGGTCCCAGAATTCTTCCCAGCAGAGATATGCATCCTGGAATTCTTGGCTCCTTTTGAGGGAACTCTGGAGCAAAACCAAGTTAGAAACTGAAAATGGTAGAAAAAACCTACGGTAACATAAATGGAAAGCCACCACGCTGGCTTGAACATTTTGGACGGTGAAGACCTGACTGGGTATAATGGAATACAGCCTTGGCCAGGGGTCTTAGAAATGGACAGAAATTGTATGTCTTACTTCGTAATCATGTGCTTTGCTACTTCTAAATCTCAAGTTCTCACATTTGAAGACTCATAATGACCAATGTGGAGTTTATTTGGAACAGATGTGGGGCCAAATAGTGATGACAAATAATTTTCCATTGATTTACACTTTTTGTCCCTCTGACCTACATTTTTAAACACTCAATGGTATTGGAAAAGAAACTGTTATAAAACTTATTTGGAGTCTTCTTTTAGAATTCAGTGGTGCAAATGAGATTGCTATTATGAAAACATAGGATAGAAATTCACTGTTTTATTTGCTTTTGTTGATAGCTGGTAAAGCCAGCTTCAACTCCCAGCTCATTACTCTCTGTGCATGAAAAATTTTAGGCAGGACAGGACCTAGGATCTAATTGAAAGAACTGAAAATAAGAACACTTTGTAATTCCTGCAGGAGTCAGTCAGAGCCCTGCCTGGCCAGGAAATGGGCGAACAGATTTCTGACTTGCCTAGTGATTCGTTTTGAGTTAAACCAGTTTAAGTTCGAAGCATTTTCAAGTCATTGTGAAACGGAAAAAAAAAAGCTTTAGGGATTATTTTTTAAAGATTCTCAGCTTAGACTCTGAACGTTTTGAAACCAGGTGACTGGGATTGCCTTGGCATATACTCGTTAGCATCCCAGCCTCAGCAGGTAAATTCTAACAGCACCAGGAGATGGCAACTGTGCTGTCGTTCCCTGACATTACTAAACATCCTGCCATACAGAAGCAAATCACTGGAAGCTAAGAAGTGACCATTCGATTAGAGATTGTAAGTATAAACATCTGTCTACTTTCCTTCCTGCTCTCAGATATCATGGAGGCAGAGCTGCGGCCAACACCTCACACTGCTCTGAAGTCTACAAAATAGAAGTGGCTCCTCATTAAATCAGACTCCTCACTTGGCTCTGATTCATTGAGGAGACCTGATTAGCACAGTTGGGATTTAACAGTTAGCACAGAAGGATTTAATAATTAACCTCAACTGAACACCTTCCCATGACCCCACATGGACTGTGCTCTGACAATATACAGTGACCACTTCTTCTCAGTGCTGGAATGTGTGGTTTGCTCCTGTGTGGTTCTGTGAAGTAGATTTATGGAGACACTCTTAGATTTAGGTCGGAGCTGAAGTGACAAGTCTCAGCTATAACAGAAGTTAGCATTTTGTGGCTTCTTAAAAAAAAGAAGTGTATTTGAAGTGATGAGCTTCCTTCCAGGATGAGCCACCCCGGGCCTTTGTGTGTCTCACATTGGACCGGCAGTGACAGTGTGGGAATGAATGATGAACGAAGGGGAGGGGAGTTACTGACCTGCCCGATCTAAACAGTGAGTCAGAGCACAGAGGTCTATGTGCCGCTGCTGCGGGTGGGGATGATGCGCAGGCCCTTCCCAAAGTGTTCCAGAACATTCTCCAGAGAGACTCCACAAATGTCACCCAAGAGCTTAAACAGGAATCTTCTAAGTGTGAAAGAAAAAATTCTCAAACGCTAAAATTTTTATTCTTTTGGCTTTTAAGATGAGAGATATTTAATTTAAATTCACATTTAACTACATATTTTCATGGGTTCTACAAAATCGTAACTTTCATTTAATAATCTTAATGATATTCTTGTTTCTAAAATTCTATATCAGCATATATGAACTAAAACAAAAACACCAAATTTGATGTTTTTAACTATTCTGTGAAAAGCAAAAATATATTTTCCCAAATAAGTATGTTATGTTACTATTCTATTTCATACTTTGTCAAAAGGTTCTTACTCAATATAGACATGCTTATTTTGTGTTTTTTCTGTCTTTACAATGACTGTTTCCTTCCTTCATCTTTTTTTTGTGTATCTGTAAAAGAGGTCTGCTTACTGAGCAAACTTAAGGCATTTTGATTGGAATTTGCAATTTCATCTGCAATAATTACTGCTCCTAATTTCATAAAAGGAATAATGAAAAAATGGCTGCTTTAACTAGGTTTGAAAGTAAGTAACTGTGGCCGGTTCAGCACAAGAATTCTAGAAACTTCTGCATTGTTATGTAGCATGAATCTTAAAAGGTCTTATTAATAAAAGCAAACCTGGGGCCAGTTATTGGGGTGAATGCTGGAAGATCAGAGAAGCAGAACAAGCCACAGCCACCTCACCTTGCCAATTCCTCAGCTGATCCTGTTTCCTCAGACTGGAAGCCTCTGAGTCCTCATCCAAATGAGTCTCA